GGCGAAAACCTGGGGGTTTGATAAAAGGGAGACAACTTTACTATTCAAAGAACTCATCAGTTACAAAAATAATGATGCTCCTTTTGATAATCTGTTGAGTGCTAAAGATATTAGTCCTAGAATTTTTTGGTCAAAGTTTACTGGTGGTTCTCCATTTCCTCAACGGTTTGCTATGAAAATCTTTGCAATTGTTTTACACACAGCAGCCATCGAACATTTGTTTTCTAGCTTGGGGTTAGTGAAGACAAAATTAAGAAATAAAATGTCACCTAGTGTAATGGGGATGCTTAGAATGCTCCGCTACGACCTTCAGCAAAAATTACCTGAAATAGTTACAAAAAAATCTAAAGCAAAAGATCAGAATTTGTTAAAAAATTCTATGAATAATAATACTGAATTTACTAATATTGATCCATTCTTCGAAGAAGAATTTGATGAACTTCTACAAATTAATGTTGAAGTGGTAAGTATGGATATGAATAATGAATCAGTGGTAGAAAATTTTTTCGATGTCAAAACATTTGAACAGAGTCAAGGAATAAGCGAAGAAAGCTTGAATACTTCTTCTCAAAGGCATATTACCAGTGCTGATGGAGATTGGTCAATTGACGATATTTTCTCTTTACCTAACTATCCTACACTTGAATAAAGTAGCCAAAAAATGTAAGCTTTTTATTTTAATAATATGCGCAACCCTAACAAAAATTTTAATACAATAAATATAAAATATCTTTAGTCAAAGCAGTGTATTAAAGATTGTACCCGTCAAGAAAATTTTCACCTAGGTATTATTAAATTACCCAGTTATCCAGGTAATTTATTATGCTATACAATAAAAATGTCTACAGTATTGGGTACAATCTCTACAGTGTATAAATAAAAATAAAGCTAAAAATTCAAACCTATAGAAGGTATCCTACATATATTCAAAAACTATATAATTGTTAAATATGTTCGTAATTAAAAATAAAAGAAATTATAACTCGAAAATTTTTTTAGTCAAATAAAGTAAATTGTCAAATATAAATTGCATTAATCAATACGTAATACTTTAATAAGTAAAATTTATATACTATATGATACACGAATCTAAATTCTAACTTGATTGTGCTAAAACCGGTTTAATAGTTTAACAAAAACTGAATTCAAACTCTATCCAAACCGGTTAATTTATCACAATGTAATATAAAATTATTTAAGTGGCATGTCTAATACTTATTCGGACTTTAGGCATGCTATAAGCATGCCACAATTGGCATGCCATAGTAGCATGCCAATAACTACGATGCCAGGTACCCTAGTCGAGGTCAATGATGTCGGTGTTTTGGGTAATAGAAGTAGGCATCTTGTTGTTAAATTTTGCTTAAGAGCACAAAATAGATTAACTTAGTAAAATTT